TTTCGCTCTCTCATGGTTTTTTAATTCCTGCCTTGTTAGAAGGTACGTTGCCAAATTTGCTTAAACAAATTACAAACAGTAATTCGCATCCGATGTGGCGAAGAAAAACAAAAATAATATTGCACTTTCCTGCTGAACTCCTTTTCACACACAAATGGAGAGGAGCAGAGCTCTACATCTCTATCTATACCTTCTCCTTGATATCCTTACCTTTATATAGCAGAAAATTACACAGTAATATTACACAGAAAATTACCAGTGGAAAAACAGAGTTTTCTCACCTAATATTTCCTTGATTTAAGCTTCCTTGTCTTCTTGCTTGCTCTGGGGAACACCAAAACTGAATTTATTACAACATATATAGTTGCACAGTCTATCCTAAGTAAAAGTAGCTTTAATTCTCCAGTACAGCTTATTCGCTCTCTCCTGCACTTGCAGAATCCATTATTCAGCTTAGAAATAATCTTATACTTTTCTTCAGCCATACGTCCCACTGTAAACAATGGCTTGCAAAACAGAAGATATTAACAAAGGAACATTAAAATATGCAAAAAAAGGAGGAAAAAGCTCGGATGTGGAGCAATGGAACTTAAAAAGGCCAACTAAGCATCCAGGAAGCTGTAAAGGGAGATCATTGTCAGCAGTGGTGTTATTGCTGCATGCTCACGAAAATGTATGAGAAGAGAGGCAGCAAGGGCAAAGGTGTTGGATATCATGAAAGAATAGAATCTGAAACCGGGCAGGATCCGGACAGAGAAAAATCATTTATGCTTATAGACAATAGAACAGATTCAATCCAGCTTAAAGAGCTTGTGATCAGGATAGACTCCTTTTTCCTAGATAGTTGAGGGAGGATTCAATCCGGCTTGGAACATTGTCACTACTACGATTGTGGCCATAACGGGTAGCAACTGTTTATCTTGTAAGTACAAACTCCAAGCGTTCTTTAGGATTTCTACAAATAGACCATTTTTTCCCTGTTGAGTGTTGTCTTCCTCTATAACAATCTCCCAATGGTACTGACCGCATCGATGTTTTAAGAAATCAAACACCTACAATGACCATGTAAAGGTATTTATAATTACATAATTTCGTGAGCAATACGGTCCTGTTGTCAGGAAATTGTACATCTAAGAGCATGTTTACCGCAAGATTAGATAAGACTGGAATATAGAGCTTTGGATAAAAATATTAATCAACGTCGACAAAAATGCCCTTATATTATTGTTAAACATAATAAATTTTATTTTAATTACTTTTATAATAATTAATTTATCATTAATATGAAGTTAATTGAAATTATTTATATTAATTTTTAATTAATAAGATAAGATAAAAATACAACAAAAATTTCGATTAATTATCATTAATATTTTCCTTTGTTTTATTGGTAAACATAACATATTTTATTCTAATTACTTTTATAATAATTAATTTATCATTAATATGA